TAGTTACTTATGACTCCCTAGTTTAGTTGTTATGGTAACTTATTTTAAGTCGAATCATTATTTAATATTATTTTAGTTTAGCTGCTCTCGAAGATCACAGGAAGTATAATACAGGTCCAAGAAAAAGTACGCCCGAACAAGACGAGGATATTGTTATGGGAGTGATCGCAAATCCTTTTGATTCCGTTGAGGCAATGCCAAATAATGAAAATTTTGATATTTCGAAAAGATCTGTGAGACGCCGATTAAATGGGGCAACTATTAGGTCACGACCAGCCGCAAGAAAAATTGAATTGAAACTGGTGCATAGAAATAGAAAAATGGAATTTGCAAGACGATATTTAAATACGCCGCAGGAAGTATGGGATGCAGTAATTTGGATGGATGAGAAAACTTTCTTATCCGCAGAAGACGGAAGATATCGAGTCTGGAGACCTGACGGTCAACGTTTAAATCCTAATTACGTCCTTCCTTTAGCACAGAGTGGAAGAATTGTAATAGGATTTTGGGGATGTATGTCCTCCAGGGGATTATTGCGTCTTCAAGAAATTTCTCCGAGAATGAATGCTGAAGAATACGTAGAAATTTTAGAAGAAGTTTTAAAACCTAGCGCGAAACAAATATTTCCGGAAGAAAAGTTTTCGACCATAAAAATTGTGCAAGATAATAGTGGTGTCCACTCATCAAGATTTGTTCAGGCTTGGTTTGATGTAAATCCAGATTTCGAAAAAATTCCATGGCCAGCAAAATCGCCAGATCTGAATGTTATTGAAAACGTTTGGGCCAAGATGAAGACCTCGTGGAGAGCTGGTCAACTACGAACAAAGGAAGCATTAAGGATTCATGTCAATAATGTCTGGAATGAGCTATCATTAGAGCCAAACTTTACACGGAATTTAGTTAATTCTATGCAAAGGCGGCTGCAATTGGTGCTAGAAAGTAACGGATTTTGTATACCTTATTGGTATGTGAAATATCGGCAAAAATTTATATAAAAGAAGTGCAAATAGATAATATTTTTTAATTCTGATTTTCTCTTTTTGTTTCACAAATGCAGTAAATAAATATATATTACAATATATAACATATAATAAATAATATACTACAATTATGTTTAAATGTTTACAATGTTTATGTAAATTGATTGTGTTAATAAATACAAGACTTAATTCTTTAATTGTTACTTAACTGTTATAAATAAATACATTATATTAAATAAATACATTTTATTTGGTAAATATATAATTTAAATATATAACTTATACATTTAATTGCTTTTTTAGTAATTAATTAAATTCTTAGTTAATTAATCATTAAAAATAAGACAAGCCACAAATTCCTGGGCTGCACATGAAAGCCAACTTCGAAGCCAAAGTAGAGACTGCATGGCCAGTGTTTGTCACATAAATGAGCTGATGTAACATTACAACAAGTTTCTTATATTGAATAATTAATCATTAACTTAATATCCAATCGTCTACAGTTTCTGGAATGTATTTTGAAATATATTTCAAATATAATTAAATGATCTCTATATTAGTTAATATCTCTATATTATTTATTTTAATGCAGAATTCGAGTAACTGTAGACCACTGGATATCATGTGATAAAAAGAAATATATGGTTTTGTAACCTCTTACCTTTTAACCTCAATTTCTGTAACTGCGTTGCTGGTTCTCAGCTTGGTTCTTGAATAATCAACAGTCATAGAGCACGAATATTTAGACACGATACGCCTGACTGACAATGTTCGATATCTCAAGATATCGAAATGTCCAGGCATTTTTGCCGGTGAGTGTACATACAAGCAAACAAACTTTGGCATTCAATATTTAGAGACCAAGTAAATTTTAATTATAAAAAATGCCTCGAAAAAGAAAAGGCGAAAATTTGAGTAAAATGAGTCGTGAAAGCAGCCGTACACGACAGAGGCGAAAAAATGAGAGTTGGGAGGAAAGGACTGAAAGACTTGAAGCTGATGCCCAGAGACATGCTCAGCAAAGGGCAGAGGAAAATGATGAGACAAGGTATCAACGACTGAAAGCTGATGCCCAGAGACATGCTCAGCAGAGGGCAGAGGAAAATGATGAGACAAGGTATCAATGACTGAAAGCTGATGCCCAGAGACATGCTCAGCAGAGGGCAGAGGAAAATGATGAGACAAGGTATCAACGACTGAAAGTTAATGCCCAGAGAAATACTCAGCAGAGGGCAGAGGAAAATAATGAGACAAGATCTCAACGACTTGAAGCTGATCCCCAGAGACATGATTAGAGAAGGTGCCAAGCCAAACAACTGAATCACCACATTGCGCTAATTGCCAAAGGTCATGAAATGAATGTGCCTGTTCACACACTTGGCCAAATGAATGTCGAATGCCAATTTTGCAAATCGTTAAACTTTACATGTAAAAAGCCTAAAGATGGAAAATTTACATATTGTTGCCAAGAGGGTAAGCTTCAATTAAAACACATAAATTTTCCTGAATTTCTTAAAAAATTATTCATGGGAAATAATGCTCCATCTAAGAATTTTATGGATAATATTTGTTCGTATAACAGCGCTTTAGCTATGGCTTCCATGGGTGCCCCAGGCAATAGGAATCCCTTGGATGTAGTGAACCTTGCTCTTTATTGCTTAAAGATTTATGGGCAATATCATCATTTGACCTCGACAGCAATGCGCCCATGTGATGGGCAACCCCCACGATATGCACAACTTTACTTTTTGGATACGGAAGAAGCTGTTCATCATAGAATGAATAACAAAGCCAACCAAGGGTGTGATCTAGCCCTGATGAGAAATTTATCATGTTTCATGATCAAATGCAATGAATTTGCCAAGACTTTTAAGATGATGCGTCAAGTTGAACAAGATCTTAATCCAAGAGGCACTCAAGCTCTAAATTTGATGTTGTGCTTTCCAAATGATCCTCAACATGATCAAAGAAGATACAATGCTCCACGAGCTAATGAAATAGCCGTGGTCTTTCAAAATGTTGATGGTGAGCCTCCATTTGAGAGAAACATTCGGATTTATAACAAAAATTCGAACGATGTCCAACAAATTTCAATTCTGGACAAAAGATGTGACCCAATGTGTTACCCTTTATTATATCCATACGGTAATAATGGATGGCATTCAGAATTGAAATCTCATAATCCTCAATATCCAGGATTCAAAGTAACGCAAATGGACTATTACGCTCACTTGCTGGCACCAAGAGCAGAATTTAGCCAATTTCAAAGAGCAGGCAAATTGAGGTGTTAATTTATACTTGATGCCTATATGAAAACAGAAGCCAATAGGCTTAATTACATTAAATTGAATCAGCCTCAATTAAGAGCTGAACTTTATTTCAGGGTTAATGGATCATCTTAATCGAGCTTAATCATCGATAATCGAGCACAAAAAAAAGGAATTACAGCTGGTATACCTGTAATATTACCATCCTCATTTATGGGCAGTCTAAGGAATATGCAAGAAAGGTACCAAGATGCCATGTCTTTAGTCAGAAAGTTTGGTAAACCAGACATTTTTCTTACGATAACTTGCAATCCTCAATGCCCTGAAATTAAGGAAAACCTTGATGGATGACCATTAGAGTATCGACCTGATTTGGTCGCTAAAACATTCAGCTTGGATGTCAAAGAGGTTATGAAGAATCTAATCCAAAATGGAATTTTTGGAAATATCATAGCCTATGCAGGCGTGATTGAGTTCCAAAAAAGAGGACTTTCACATTTGCATTTACTTGCAATGTTGAGTGATGAAGATAAGCCTCGACTTCAAGAAGTCTGTTCGAGAAGCCGAACATGTGCCGCGCGCGCCTGACGAATGCGCGCCCGGCCAACACGCGCTTATCAGATTTCGCGGCTCGCTGCGGCACGTCGCCGGCTCACATACACTTACTCGCGTTTAAAGTACGCTCGAGTAGCAATTTAAGGCGAGCTGCGCACAGACCAGCATCGAATCCTACCGCTATACTTTACGATCTCGTGTCGAGGAAGCGTTGAGAGAGTCGAAACATAATTATTTTGTAGCGTCGAGTGAGATTCCCTCTCCTCCGCGCAGTAGTAGTCGAGCGTCGAGAGACTTCTCCTCCGCTCATTGCACTCCTTTGGAGCCATCGTGGAGAACGCGGCCCCCTCCAAACCGGACGCCCTTTCCGGGCCCGGCACTGTGGGAGCGGAAGCGCGGAGTGGCCCCACTCCAACAGCGACCAGAAGGAAGAGGTGCCGAACCAGGACGCGGAGCCAGAGACGAAGGAAGCGTCTCTCCTACCCGCCAGCACCGCAGGAGCGGTACGCAAACCGAGCAGAGCCCGCGAAACCGGGAACTCAGGAGCGGCACGCGAAGGGGGCGGAGCCCGCTAAACCGGTGTCGCAGGAGCGGCACCAGGAGACACCGGCCCATTCGAAACCTCGTTTTTTCAACCAGCCAGTGCCGCAGGAGCGGCAGGTGAAGAGACGGGAGCTTGACAAGGGACAGGCGATACGTCCGTGGAAGCTCGTTCCACTGGAGCTCCCGGAGGTGCGTTGCACTAGGCCCGCTGGACTGATCCTCCGGAAGCGAGATTGCCGCATTTTGCGACCACCGGCCCTCCACCTGATCCGCGTCAAGGAAACGCGAAATACGGCGTGTCAAACAGTGCTCACGCGAGCTTTCCTGGCTCCTTCATCGCCAGTGGACCCACCGGATCAACCGACGGATAAGCCACCTCTCACTCCGGGCTCTAAACTCGACCTGAACAATAATTCGGTCCCTTCCAAGCCCCTTGCAAAGAAGGCCATCCGCCAAATTAAATTTTGAAACCGTGCGTTAGCACTTATATTTTGATTAGGCGCCTTCAAGGCGCCGCCTAAGACAACGCAAACATAATGTATGTAATTTAGACACAGAATATATTGTTTTGTTATCAAATCTTGTCTCGATGACTCACCGCCACCGCCCTGATCCCTATTGCGACTCCACCATATCGAACAAAATCATTGACATGATGGTATGGGTTGAAATTCCTGACGAAGAAAGATATCCAGAACTTAATGCAAAAGTTCTGAAGCACATGATTCATGGTCCGTGTGGCAATCAATCTCAGAGATATCCTTGCACTGGTGACGATGGAAAATGCTCAAAAGGCTTTCCAAAAGAGTTTCGAGACGAAACAAATGCTAATGTGAATGGATATCCCATGTATCAACGAAGAAATACTGGGAAAAAATACATTGTTAGAGGAAAAGAAATTGACAATCGATGGGTGGTGCCATATTCGCCATATTTAATCATGAAATATGATCGGCACATCAATTTGGAAATATGCTCATCAGTGAAGAGCGTAAAATACTTATATAAGTACATTCACAAAGGATTTGACTGTGCCGCAATTGAAGTGCAAACACGAGATGGCACAAGGCTCATTAAAGTAGATGAAGTTAACTCATTCCTAGATGCAAGATATGTTAGTGCTCCAGAAGCAATGTGGAGACTGAATGGATACGATCTATTCATGAAGTCTCACACAGTAATAAGACTGGCAGTCTATTTGCCTAATCGTCAAATGGTTTATTTCAGAGCGGGAAATGAAGAGCAAGCTGCTCAAAGAGAGCTCACCCGAGATACTACGCTGACTGCATGGTTCAAATTGAACCAATCTGATGAAAATGCAATGCATTTTCTTTATACAGATATTTCTTCTCAATACATTTATGAAAAGAAAGAAACTAAGTGGAAGCTACGCAAAAAAGGTGTTAATAAAGTAATTACAAGGCTTTACACAGTGAGCATCAAAGATACTGAGAGATTTTATCTCCGCCTTCTTCTTCTCCATGTGGCAGGAGCTAAATGTTTTGAGGATCTGAGAACTGTCAATGGCGTTCAAACCATAACTAATTATTTAGCCAAATACGTCTCTGAAAATCAGAGGGATTGGGACCGGTGAATATCTCGTCGAGAATGGAATCTCTATCGTCCCGCGGCGGTCCGGCCCGTGCGGGTATCCGGTTACGGTGATTCGCCGGGGTGCCTCTTTGTGATAGCACTCGATTAAGACGGCTTATTTCTTCGTCTATTTCCTTTGGGGTTATCGGCGCGTTGTCATTTACGTTATTCGCGTCGTGGTTGCTATTTGTTGCTTCCGCCATCTCGATTACGTTCACGTGTCTCGGGGCAGAATAATACTCTTGCGGGTCAAATATATGTATGCTGCTATCATACGAGGTTAATGAGAACTCTCGTCTGTGTGTTCGCCTACTGGTCGTACTGTCCGCGTCTTCGGATTGTGCGTGCGCGTGTGAGGGGTGGAGTCTATTTTCGTCGGGGCCGTTATTTTGTCCTATTACTCTCGCGTCTAAAATTATAACGGAATCGTCGAATTGGGATTCGCGTTCGATTACGCTGTTCGGGTGTAATTCCGGTTTTGATTCGCTTTCGCTTGAGTAGTACGCGTCTAAATTTCTACGCACGGTTTCGCGATTATCGCTTACGACTTCTTCGGTCGTTTGCACGGGGCTTAACGGTCTATTTCTACGCGCTCGTCGTGATGTCTCGCTATGGAGCCACGATTGGTTTAGTTCCGCAGGTGGATTTTCGTTTTCTGACATTTACGGTGATTGCGCTTTACATAATTTGCTTAATCGACTTACATTACGGTCGCTAGTCGCATGTTGCTGGTCGGTGCTCGTGCCGCCTTATCTGTCGGTGAACCTCCGTTGAGGTAGGTCGGCGCTTTCTCGGGTTACGCTGCTCGCTTGTCCCTCGTCGGCCGCTACCGTGTCGTCCGCTGTTTTTAAATCTGGCTGCCGTGTCTCCGTTGAGGATGTTGCACTGCCTCACTGATTCACTTATTTTTTTGTTTCAGCTGCCGTTCCCGTCTTCCTGCCACTGGATCCCTCACGCTGCCACCATTTTGTTGTGCCCCTTTTTGGGTACACTAAGATTCGATCGTTCCAAGGAGGAGGCGGGATGAGTGACTGACAGAACACTCTTAGATAAACGGCACTTTGAATAAAGAATACTTTAATTGAATCTGCTTTACAGTTATTACGTACAAGAATGCCCGTTACTGATCTGCTCCCTGACTCCGATTGCCCTCTCGTCTCCTGTTGTCGCTTCCTTTTGAATCCTCGTCCTGTCCTTCGATATCGCTGAGTTGCTCGATCGTATGTGGGCCGATCGCGCAACTCATCTCTTGCTGATTCGGCGTTGCGTAATTCTTTCGGGCTTTCGCGGTCGCGTTCGCTATTGTTCTTCGCGGTCTTTATTCTTAATACTATTTATTGTTATATTAATTGGGGCCGCAACAGTGCGAAGTTTTCGTTTACGGTACGTCAAAACCATTCGCCTTTCGTATCGGCGACAAGTAACGCGTTTCGCGGGCGTTCCCGTTTGTTTCGGACGCTGTGGTACGTGAAATTCGTAATTCGGTACGTAATCGCGATAATTACAACGACACGCCGAGATATACGCGCGAGACGGGTGTTATACCTACGAGCGCCCACGAGAGACTGCATCGAGGAATATTCCTCTCTCGGGCTCCCTACCTCTGGTAGTTTACCCCCACCATGGGGTCTCGGCCGCTTTCTCTTCGCGGTACTTTTCCGTTCTCCGCGTTAACAATAAGTGTTTACGACTTCTGGCCGCGCCAGATGTTTGCCGCTACGCAGTTACAATAGGTGTTGACTACGCCTGGCCGTACCAGATGTTCGCGGTGGAAATTTTCACTTGTAGTACCATATACGCGACGTCCTAAAACGGCCCCCGGATAGTGGTTTTCCACCACTCTTAATTTTCGACTTTCGACGACGCCGACCCGTGCGCACGTCTTCTCTTACGTCCTTTTAGACGACCCCGGGTCGACTTCTCGAAGAAGACGTCTGGGTCGCTTTCGCGATGTTTGCCGTTGACGGCGACCCCCGGGTCTCGCTTTCACGGTCCCTACTAACGAGATTCTGGACTCAGTCCCTGTGGCCGACGTCCGGGTACCGACTTGGCCGACACGTTCCCTTATCTCGCGTCCGGGTGATCGGATTTTGACGGCAACTTGTTCCTCGGGACTACCAGGTCCCGTTAGCTGTGACCCGCTGGATTTTCCCCGCGGATGACGCCTAGTTACCTATCTGGTTTCTTAGTGACCGGATCGCGTCGCTCTCTGGCCGGTCCCCTATTCTGCGACCTCGCGGTTCGGATCGTGTGGCTATTAATCCCACGGCACGCGCGGTTCTACTACCTAGCTACCACGGTTCGCCACTCTGCAACCTGGTGACCGGATCGCGTCTCTCTTTCGCTGGTCACCTACTTTGTGACCTCGCAGTTCGGACCGCGTGGCTATCATTCCCGCGGCACGCGCGGTTCTACCACCTGACTACCCCGGTTCACCATCTTACAATTTGGTGACTGGATTGCGTCGTTCTCTGGCTGGTCCCTTATTTTCGGACCTCGCGGTTCGGACCATGTGGCTATGTACCGGGATTAACGAGATTCCCACTGTCCCTATCTACTATCTAGCGAAACCACTGCCAAGAGAACGGGCTTGGAAAAATTAGCGGGGAAAGAAGACCCTGTTAAACTTGACTCTAGTCTGGCACTGTAAGGAGACATGAGAGGTGTAGCATAAGTGGGAGATGGCAACATCGCCGGTGAAATACCACTACTTTTATCGCTTCCTTACTTACTCGGTTAGGCGGAGCGCGTGGTCGGTTAGGCTATGGTTCCCGCGCATTTCATCGTTTCCTTACTTACTCGGTTAGGCTATGGTTCCCGCGGCACGCGCGATTCTATTACCTGGCTACCACGGTTCGCCATTTTGCAATCCAGGGTTCGGATCGCGACGTTCTATGGCTGGTCCGCTATTTTGGGACCTCGCGGTTCGGACCATGTGACTAATGCTCGCGCAGTTCGTACGGTTCCGGTAATTGATGACCGCGCTATCCCGAATCGTTATCCGCTCCGCTATAGTCCGCGATTTGTGCGAATACGAGCCTGTGTGTCCCCGTACTAAAGATTGTTTGTGGCTCGACTGCCGTGCTTTTTCGCGCGTTACCGCGATCCACGTGCAAAGCTATTAAAATAATATTTTGAAGTCGGGCCGAGCACTTTAGTGCCGCAAAACGAAATAAATTTAAAGTGAATTGGGAAGAATATGAACTTATATACTAGATGAGCCGCAGCTCGGCGACCGCTGTCGCGTTACTTAATCTTAACTTAATATACTATTTGCGCCGGACGGACCTGAAACAAAACTTATATGCTTACGAAGAGAATAAAGGGGATAAATACAGTCGAGTATATTGGGGCTCGGGCTACCTATAACTGTCCGTCCTCGGAACGCTCAGGGTGGGGTGGCCTAGGCCGAGGCATCTTCCTCGTTTTCCGGAGTTTCCTCTCCTGACGATATGCTCCGGAACTCCTCGTCCAGCTCGTCCCTCTCGTCTGGCGTCGCTACATGCGGCACCACCGTCACTATCACCGTCGGTTGGTCGACACGGCGCATGCGGTTGCAAGGTCACCTTCCCTAAGACGCAAGGGAGACTGACAAACTTGGATACGTTCTGGGAGAAGACTCAAGCCCTCCATGTCCAAATTCTGCAGACGGCTACAGCGGAGGAGAAGAAGACGACCCCTACTTTCAAGAAGAGAAGTTTCTTGCCGCCGAGGTAGCCTACTTCGAGGCAGCAGATTACCTACACGATATTATCAGTAAATTAACGAACGACGCTCCGAGCGCTCCGGATCGAGGTAACGACTCATCTTATCACGACGCGCCCACCGGAATGTCGTTGCAGTTGCCTCGTATTTTGCTTCCGAAATTTTCCGGTGGTTTCCCCGAATGGGAAAATTTTTGCGGTATCTTCGAGTCCCTCGTAGCAAAAAATGAATCTTTGTCAAACACTCAAAAGCTTCACTATCTGAAAGCGAGCCTTGCCGGCGAGGCTGCGTTGTTAATTAACAACATCAAAGTTTCCGACGCGAATTACGAGGCAGCATGGCAACTTCTTGTCGACGACTACGACAACCGCAACGCGATTATTCACGCGCATATTCACACGTTCGTTGACTTGCCGAAAATGAAAACCGAAATGAAAAACGAACTGAAACGACTTCGAGATAATGTGACCGCCTCTCTCGCCGCTTTAACAAATCTCGATCGTCCGGTCAATGCGTGGGACGACCTATTAGTGTACATCATATCGCAGAAATTTAGTCCGAAGACCCAAAACGAGTGGAATTTGACCCGAGGCAATTCGGATGTCTATCCCAACTACAAAGAAATCTACGATTTCATGACCCTTTGCATTCGCGGCCTCGCGGATTACTCCTCGCAATCCGACTATGCGTCGATTAACGCGCGCGGGAGTAAAACTCGTACGTCGGTGAATCATGTGTCGCCCGTCAAGTGCGTCCGTTGTTCCGCAAATCATAGTCTGGCAAAAAAGTGTGACAAGTTTCTGAGCCTGTCGGTTGAGCAACGCCGAATACTCGCGCGACAGCATAAATGCTGCTTTAACTGTCTGAGAACCGTGCATTATCTGAAGAATTGTCCGAGTAGAAGTCGTTGCAATCGCTGTCGTCGAGCACACCATTCTCTCCTACACACCGATGGGGAAGAGAGTGGTACCAAAGGCGAGCCTTCCGCGATTGATTCGCCGTCCTCATCTCCGTCAGCAGTATCATTTGCCGTTGCCTCCGAGCTCCGAGCCCCAAGCCGCGCCCTCAGCGTCCGTTCAAACCGTACATGCTACTCAAGATTTTGTAAAATCGCCGCCTCACGTGCTTCTCGCCACTGCATGGGTTAGCCTAAGTACAATAGAAGGCCGCAGCTTTAAATTACGTGCATTATTAGATCAGGGCTCGACATACAGTTTTATTTCGGAATCGCTTTACCAGACTATGCGAACCAGGCGTCATCGTACCGGGTTAAAAATAGAGTCAGTGCACCGTTTG